GCCGCCATCTTGGTAAAGGGCGCTGACGCCGCGCGGCCACCATCTTGGCAAAGGGTCTCGCTCGGGGCCTCGGGTGTCGCCCTTCCTCGCTCCGGAGGGGCATCGCGCCCCGGGGGTGGTCGGGTGCGACAGGAGAGGGCGAGGCTTTCAGCCAGCTACTCCCCCGAGGCGCCCTAGGCGCGCTCCCTCCAGGGCCGCCATCTTGGCAAAGGGAGATACGCTCGCAGCCCCAGAAGGGAGAGGGCACCCAAACCTTGGCCAAGGTGGAACTTTATGAAGGGTGCCGAGCAACCCAGGTGTCAGCCTTCTTCTGAATGCAGGAGGGATGGCTTCTCCTTTCCTTTCACTTGGTGCCAGCCTGCTAGAGGGATGCCCTGGCCTTGGGGCGCACAGTCCTCTGAGCGCTAAGGCCAGCTGGCGGTTCCCACCTTCCACCTCTCCAGGCCTAGAACCAGGTGCCTGCAACGGCCGGGTTCCCAAACCAGCAGCAGTGCCATGAGGGAGAAAAGCAAGACCCAAAGGTACAATGCTGTCATGCATGTTTTAAAAGGCAGTTAAATAACTCATGCCAATGTGATTACCCTTCTAACTATGCTTAAATGTTCTACTAGGGATTATTTATATACTAGAGGCCCAGTGCATGAAATTGGTGCATGGGCAGGGTCCCTAGTGGCTTCCTGCAGGGCCTCCCCTCTCTGGCTGCTGGCTGTTGGCCAGGGCCTTCCTTCTCCCCTGCCACCCCCTGGTGGTCAGCGCACGTCATAGCGAGTGGTCAAACTCCTGGTTGGTGGAACTCCTGAGGGGACAATTTGCATATTAGCCTTTTATTATATAGGATAAATACTATATATATATATATATCATAAGTTACCTAACTTCTCCCCAAAACATAAACCAATTTCTAATTGAATCTCTGCTATAAGAATATGCCCATTTACATAAACCAATTTCTAATTGAATCTCTGCTATAAGAATATGCCCATTTTTTTTTTTTTACTTGTTCAACTTCTAGGTGGTACTCTGCTTTTTAAAATAATATCCAAGCATTCCCAATCAACTTTTTCCCCACTCGTTTTAAATTCAAACAACAGCTAAATAGATAGGTCTTATCAGTTTTCATGAAAATTAGAGGAAACTGAAGCGTACAGACGACGATGCTTATCCTGGCTGCGGAAGGTAGAATTAGACAATATTAAAAGAGGTTTTTCTTTGTTGATCTCATAATTCCCATGAAAGAGTATGTAAATTCCATGATAGGCTTGCAATAAATGTGTATGGAATTTAGTTCAAGAAATGAAATCCATTGTACCAGAAAGAATGTGACATTAAACATTGTAATAATAATAGGATTTCTAACAATAGTTAGCAAACTTACTATAATAATTTACTGAGCTTCTGTCTGCTGGGCACTACTGACAGTGTTTTAAACATACCATCTTAAATCTTTACCTATGACAATTACTAATCAGTAACCCTCGGAAGTTATAATAAATAGGATGAATCCCCATGTGAGGGAGAATATAATTGATTGTTTCAGAAGCAGAGGTGGGCATGAAGGTGAGCTATCCAAACCCCATCAAAGCAAAGACCTGATCTGTCTTGTTCATTGCTGCATACCCCACTCCCAAACAACGCCCGGTGCATAGTAGGTGCTCAGCAAATATTTTACAGAGTTTTAATAAAACATTGTGAAGAAGATATCACTTTTGCTAGGTTGTTGTGGAGGCCAAATGAGCTAATGAAAAGTGTACAAGTATTACTCAGATACTCATTGTTATTATCTCATGGTTAAATACCTGAGTGCTCTCACTATAGAGAAACAAAAAAACAAAACAAAACAAAAACAACTAGGACCCATTATTACGTGTTTTCATGGTTTCCTGTACTTTGATAGCACACTACAAGGATAGTTCGTTATTTGTGGCCTCATTTATTAAATTTCTGTCTCCCCCTCTCGAACATAAGCTCTGTGAAGGCAGAGCCTGTGTTTCTTTTTTTAACCACTGTATCACTACTGCATAGTAGATGCTTAGTGGATGTTTGTTGAATAAATGAATTACTTAATGAATTAATGAATGGATGGATGGAAAGGGTCTAAGACTATATCCTAAGGCTGATAAAGCTTTACATCTAAATAGTAACCAAACCACCTTTTAAATTTATACAGTAATTGATATATTATCCAAGTGAGTTCTCCCATTCTGTTCACATGTATTATTATTTCCGTTTCCATAATCCATGCCTCACTGCCAGATTACTCCTCTAACACATCATGAAATCATGTCATGTTCCTATTCAAGTAACTAATCATGGTGTATATATGCAATAAGTGGTCAAGATTGCCAGAACATTATTACTGTTAATGGTCTGGAAAATGCTGAAGCTATGTTAAATGGGGGAGAGTGGAAGTAGTTTTGTAGTTAAGATTGGGCTTTGCCATCATTCTGGGATGTAAATAGCAGATTTTAAATTATGGCTGTATGACCCTGAACAAATCGTTTAACTTCTATGAGGTGATGTTTGGGTTTGATATTTAGTAATCCTTCAATAAATTTTATTTCCATATATCTAATAAAAATGAGACTAGGAAAATGCATCAAACGTTTGGCCTGCAGGTTATAGAATTATAATTTAATATAAGTTAAAAATTTTCTTTTAGAAAAAGTAACTACAATGATTCCCTATTCCAGTGTATACAGACCTCCAACTTCCATTCTGGTATTTAAGACTGTCTTTTACCTGCTCCTTTCTAGGTCAGGCAAAATCTTCTAGCTGATGCAATTGGACTGGTATTTGATTAAATTTTAAAAAGTCAGTTAAAGCAAAGGAAATCATAAAAAAATGATACTTGCTTTAAAACCTAAAACCTAGAATTAAACATTTGTTTCCTAATCCTTTGCTGAAGGTCTAAAGCTTCTGTGAGCCCACAGACGGGAGTTCGATGCCTTCATTCATGTATGAACTATAGTACAGCATGCAATTAAGAGCCAGACTGGCTGGGTCCCTCCACCTCTATGAGGAAGTAATGCTGGGTAAACTAACAATCTGTGCCTTAGTTTCCATCATTTGTGAAAGGAGGATGATAATAGTATTAACTCAAGTTAATCTAAAGAGTAAAGTTCAATATACTAGTATGTGAAGTATTTAGACAAATTCCTGGAACATATTAAGTGTCTATTCATAATTAGCAATTGTTATTAATATTTAGTATTACTATTTTCCCATTAAAAAAAGTGGAGCAAGAAATTAAAAGTGCCTACAAAATGAGAGTGTAGATTTCATCCCCTTGCTCTCATCCTAATCTTTTAAAGTTGTTTTATACCCACCTCATCTAATAGCAATTGTTTACATAGCAGTTTTCCATTTAGATTGTATAGAACAACAACTATTTCTTGTTTTACTCATATTTCATTATTTTACTTAATATTTACTTAAATAATTACAATAACAAGCACAAATGAAATAAACATGTTTTGAGGGGGGAAAAAAACACATGGAGATATTGGTAAGCATACAGCTTAACAGATGGGAGAAGAAATGTATAGAGTATAAGAACTAGCCTTGGCTCCAGTGTTCAGCACATCCTGGGCATCAATCGGTATGTTTTCCAGGAAGAAGGGAGAACCTGGATGAGTTGAGATGAATGTGTTGAGTAGTGTTGGTGAAGAGAGATCCTGTTGAAGAAAGATCACAGCTTATACCACATTCATTCTCACCTCCACTGTTGTTTATCACATATTTCCTTTTACATAAGGACACCTCCTTGTGACTTATTTTCTTATAGCTCATAATTCCTTGTCATGGTTCTAGTTTTATTTATTGTATCTTTCTGTCCCCCCACACACATACTTTAAATCTATGATGTTACATGTAAATTGGAATAAAATAAATTATGTTTGTATAAATCATTTTGAGTTATGGTAATTCATTGAATATGTTAGTTGTATATTAAACCAACATGAGCAGATCCTGTGGGTTGTCAAAACTTACTTTAAAAAATTGTTCCTGCAGCCATCATAGCTATTAGATGCTTTTTAAAAATAATACATTGACTTTAGGAAACACTTCTATTCTTGTTTAACTTTCTAAGGTAAGAGGCTTAAGGGAACCCAGCTGAGCTTTGAATATCCCATCTTTTTCTGCTTCAATATTTGCATTTTATACCAGACATGCCTATTATAAACAATTCACACATAGTATAGCAAGTTCTTAATCATAATGAATTCCACTTTGGTACTTCTCTTTATAATTGGAATTAGCACTACCACATGCACTGAGAAATGCTAAATTATTACCAACATCTCTGATGTCATGCTGCTTCTCATGATACTTTCAATGACTCCATCATAAAACCTAAAATATCACAATTGTGCTCATATGCATGAAGTCTACATCCTTTATGCTGGCAGAACATAGTTTAAGCAACATGAGGTAAATATCAGCAGATAAAAAAAGGTAAGTTTTGCAATAAGCAGGAACCTAATGTTTTAGTGTTTGGAGACATTAGCTCAAGCACACTGAATAACTGTACCTAGTATTGTGCACTTTGCCTTTCATTTGTGGCCATTGTGGCTGGCCATTATGCCATTAGCTGTCTTCCTCTACTGATTTAATCTCCTTTTCTGTCCCATGTTCTCTGGTGGGGATTGTTTCAATCTGCTCAATTTCTAGGTGGGGCCTCTCAGCTCATTTTTGAAAACCTGCATTTTCATTTTTGTGCTTACAACCTATTTAATAGTGGAGTTTAAAAGATCAAAACATCCTTGGTATAGGGACCCTAGAACAAGATATCAATGTGCTTTATATCAGACTCTGAAGAGTTACAAAAGAAAATTACAATTTTAAAAATTTGATATCAGCATTAATTATATTTTCTCTAGCCTCTTCTTAAATTTTCAATATAGACCTGAGTTTGAAATCCTGTTTTGCCATTGACTTAACTTAATGAGCTGGGGCAGTCTTCTACTTCTTCTCAGCCTTGTGTTTCTATCTGTAAAAGAAGGATCCTGGTATCTACCCCACCTCTCTCACAGGACCTAAGTGAGGCTCCAAAGGCATTTTTAAAATATCAAGCCTGGTTGGGAAAACAAGGAGGGACTTGTAGAATTTTTGCATCATCATTTCACCACAACAAAAGAGACCACGAATTTTATTAAAAATCATCATTGCCTCTCTTCACTCATTCCCCAGATAACCCATACAAATGGGAGGCCTAAAGATCCAAGCAGAGGAGTGATGGCTCAGTAGTGTGTGGGAGCTAGCTGATTGTCAAATTCTCAGGAATTGTGTATGTTAGTTGTTAATCCTGGCCACTATTAAAAATTAAATTATTTACGAACTTAAAATTTAAGTAAGATATTTTTTAAAACAAAGGTTTATTATTTTAAATTTTCCTAATATCTATGCTTTATAAAGTTATTTTCTTCTGTTCTGCATATTGGATCTATTAGTATATATGGTGTGATACACATATCTCTTCTCAATTCTGCATTCAGAAATGTTGTTTTGGTAGTTTGAAATC